GTGGGGGTGCTACTGATATTCGCCTACCAGTGGGCTGTGTTTGCAGCAGTAAAAGTTCCTCCCAGTTAATTTCACTGGCGCTGAATAGCAGAGCGACAGATTTCCGGGACATTGAGAGCCTTTCGCGGGTGTCGGAGAGCTGCTGTCAGTTCGTGAGAGCGTCCTGGAACTTCCAGGAGAGCTGGGAGAGTCTGCCATCTAACACACACTGAATACACACTGACGGAGCGAGCGATCCGCACACTTGGGGTCTCAGGGTGAAGTTTTAGTTCATTTAGGACGGTAAAATTGTTTAAGACAAACCTGAAGTCATTCTGGCAAAGAAAATGTAATTACTGTCAAATAAAATGAGGAGTTTAATAATACAAGGTTAGAGTCATCGACTCTTTGAAGCTCTTGGACTCTCCCAGAATGTCCTGGAAAACTCCAGAACCACTACAGTAATATTTGCAGGCTTGGGAGTCTGCCCCAACTGGCAATAAAGAAGCGCACCCCGCCGTGATTGCATAAGCGCCGGTTTGATGCTGGAAAGCAGGACGCCTGGTGCTGAATCGCTGAGCTGTTCCTCTGTGGAGTGGAGGGTGGAGTGGCGGAGGGCTGGCTGAGGGCTGGGGGAGTGGCGGAGGGCTGGTGGAGGGCTGGGGGAGTGGCTGAGGGCTGGCGGAGGGCTGGGGGAGTGGCTGAGGGCTGGTGGAGGGCTGACGGAGGGCTGACGGAGGGCTGGGGGAGTGGCTGAGGGCTGGCGAGGGCTGGTGGAGGGCTGGTGGAGTGGCTGGCGGAGGGCTGGCGGAGGGCTGGCTGAGGGCTGGTGGGGTGGCCAAGAGCTGGTGGAGTAGCGATACCAATCAGCGGGTGAGCCGTGAGCCCCAATCCAGCTGCTGCGTGGGCGTCCTTCTCCGAACGTGTCGTCAAGGAGATGCTGCTTATTTAGATACGTCTTACCTTGTTCTGCTCGCTGTGTTATTTATAGCCTGATCGCTGTGTGGGCTCCCTGTAATTTTCCAATCGTGCTGCTCTATGCAGCCTTTGCCCTGGCATTTTAAAGAAGTGTTTAGGGAGATGTTTGGACAGAGAGATGTGGTGGTATGATCTTGCAGGTGCTGACAACGTCACACTCACTGCCCCCTAGAGGGAAGGAGGGTCAGCTCTCGCATTAAACGCACGGTACCTTGTACTCGGTAAATGTTCCAGAGCCCACAGGGTCCAAATTCAAGAGTGATACAGGGGGAAGATCTCAGCTGGTTTTCTTGATACCCTGATGACATCTTGTAGATTTCTGTGGAAGATGTGAAAAAATAGGTAGATATTTCTGCACAGCCCCGACACACATAACATATCCTTGCCTCAGTGTTTTGTAGTTTCTGAACTCATCATAAATACACTGAATTCGGATTCGTTCAGGGAGTCCCATCATGCACTCTCGCTTTGACGTGCAATGCCTCGTTCAGATGTTGATGCAAATGAAAATAACTCTGTAACGTTTTCCATTTGTTTCGGTCGTCTGTTAACTAAAGCAATGATGGTCCTCACCCTCGAATGGGGGGGGGGAGGGGGGTTATTGTTGTAAAACTGAAGGTGCACAAAAGCCACATGTTTATGAGGACGTGATCTCCAGCAGATCTCCATCTCTCCAAGCTTCTCGATGGAGGCTGCCTGGCATCTTTGATGATTTGGGAGAGGTCCTCCGAATGCTCTGCTGGCCTTGGGGGGGGGGGGGTGGGGGTGGTGTTCACTTCCCTGACGAATCCATTTTCACATCACTCAGCTCCTTGTCTCCTAACTCAGGGTGTTAAATTAAAATTATGATTTTGTTTAAACCTTCAGTAATGAAGCAGGCAGGACCGCAGCAGCTTTAATACGGTCGGCGACTCACTCCGCTCACCCCGCACCCCGGCTCCTTCCGGAACTCTCTACACCAAGTCGCCTCAGTCTCCAACCCAAGGGACGAGACACTAAACCTGAAGTGCCCCTACCCCCCCAACCCCCCAGATTGGAAGCTCACCAGACGGACATTCTGCTTCGCTGTGGTCCCACACCCCCCGGCAGACGGCTTGGCGATAGCGTGACGCAGATGCCGCAGTATTGGCAGAGGGTGGCGTGCGTGTGAGAGGACGCTAACTTCCCGAGCAGTAGGGGAACAAATCCCCCCTAGTGGCGGGGG